ATACATATAAACAAAATCAGACCAGTTGATTTATCTTTAATCTGGATGTTTAATTTTGTTACTCTTTAAAATTTTTACAGCAGCAGCCATTCAAAATGGCCCTTCCCAGTTAAACGCCAGCAAAATCCCCTCCAGTTTCCAGCGACTGAAGTGACTCCCTCCTTCTACTGGGGGTTCATATTTTTTTTACTCTGACTCCACCCATTCACTGAATTACAGGGTCTGACCAGGAGAAGGCGCTTCTCTTTAGATCTTAATGTCCATAAATCATGACGGAAAGAATAGTTTAGTACAAAGATTGATGTTTAAATAGGAATTCAAGGGGACCAGCCAAGGGCCCATCATGGAAAGTTGGGAAATTTTTAATGGCTGCTACTGTAAGTTCATGTGATGCGCTTATTATTACCTATAATCTAGTTTACTTTGTTTTTTACTACAGAAAGGTAGTGTTCCTTGAATGATTGAAGCATGACTACAAAACCAACATGTCAATATTTGCAGTTTTATTCTCAGAGACTCCTCTTGGCTTAATTTGTTTTATTACCGTTAACCCTGCAGTGTTCACTACCCGGCTTACTCTCTGAATGTGGCGTCCATGTACCTGAAGCTGGGACGCCTATACTTGGGACTTGAGAAGAAGTCTCAAGGTGTCAAAGCTTTGAAGAAGGTGATTTTTACCTGTTCGCATTTTGTTTTTCCTTACATTTCTGCAGGAAAATAAATTCTAAAGTTCACGATTAAAACAATTAAAGAGAGAAAGTAAGGTTTGTTTATAATGGTTGCCAGCAAAAGACCCTCTAAATGAACTATTGCAGCACAAGTTTGTTTTGCAAAGTTACATCTGATGAAACCCAATCAGATAACGGTGCTTATGTGCCATTTGGGTTATCACGATTTGGGCTTCTTTTTTATATAAAGCTGACTGGCCGAGCATCAAGCTCTAAGCAGAATGAAGCAATTTGGGGTCAAATATTGGACCATCTGGCTGGCAGCTCAGCCTCCTTGTACAACCAAGCTGTTGGAGAGAAAAGAATCAAGAGTGTGTTTATCAAACTGCCTCTGAGCAGCTTCTGTTCACTCTTGAAATTCAAGGAAATTTTGTTAGGATATTTTTATGGCCTAGTCAAAGCCCAACCCTCATTCTGACATGCATGACATTCTTGGCCTAAACCGGAAATAAAAAATGAGAAAAACAAGGCCCAAACCCAAAACACTGAAAGAAATTATTTCCAATATTAGACTACAATGACTACAATGTGTACTAGCTCCTACTACAATCAAGGCATTTCAATAAATCAATAAAAAATTATCAATATATTAATAAACCACTAACATTTTCGTTTCATGGCCTTTGCATGACCCCCACCGACGCAGCGGGTATGTTTGGTGTCAGTTTCCTTTTCCGTGTTGCATTCTTCTCATATTCAGAATGATGATGGGAAGGTTTGGATTTCTATAGCATCATTTTTGTGCGCACAGTGAGACCGACGTGCAGCGTTTAAACTCACAATCTCACTCAAAACCTGTTATCCTCAAGCTCAACTCTGAAAGACTCTGCTCCTCTACCTGTGCTCTCTTGCTTCAGTCCTTTTCTGCGCACTCATTCTGACTGTGCTGTTCGCTTCTGTGTTAAATGTCTATCGGCCGAAAACCAAAAATGCACATTTCTGTGATTTCCGATGGATACATTTTCAGTGCATCCCCAGTATTTTCTAGAGTGGGGCTCTTATCAAACCTGCTTATCTCTCCACAGGCTTTGGATATCATGGAGGTGGCTCATGGAAAAGATCACCACTATGTAGCAGAGGTGAAACGGGAAATCGTGGAGCAGAAATAGAAGTTGAAAGTGTTGCTTTGGAACCTCTTTTAAAGCAACAACATATCCATCTTCAAAAGCATGGCATGCATCCTTCATTACCTCTGTTTTTACACCTTTTTTATGTCCCTACCTTACTTTTTGTGCAGAGTTCTTGCACATTCTGACTGGATTTTCAACTAGATTTGCTTTATTCAAAAAATCTATCAAAAAATAAAGTATTAATGTTTTCTTTAATATCATTGAGGCCTACAGCTGTGCGATAAAAAAAAACAAAAAAAAAAAACACACCAGTGGGGGAAATATGTCATATTCCTGCCTTTGAAGCAGCCTTCTGCAGAACCTAAGCTTTCATCTGGTAGCTCCTTATTCTGAACTCACTTTTGTGCTGTAGAGTCTAAAATAACTCAATGTTTTGTGGCTCCATCCCCAGACTGTTTAACCATCACGTTGGTGGTTTTTGCAGGATTTTAAGCTGCAATCTAACCCAATCTAAGCAGTAACTAAACTGGTGAATATTTGTAAAGGAGGTTATCACTCATCACAGCCCAAGCTTTAGGATTCTGCCTAATGTTTGCCAACAGAGCACAGTTTACCATCTCACTTGTTCTCTGTGAAACTGTGATCAAACACAAAGATTGACCATGCATCAGACACTCTGTAGCAACAGAGAGGAGCATGAAAAGGACTTGTGACTCGTCTCACAGCTTGATTTGGCTTGTTGAAAGGAAGCAGAAGTCTGGCATGCCTAACTTGTTATGCATTTCTTTATCTTTATGTCTGTTTTTATCAAGTTAGTTGATAAAGTCTTCTTCATGTCTTTGCTGTTAAGAGGATTTTACTTGTCAAGAATAAAAGCAAAGGAATGCACGATCACCTGAAGCTGAGCTCAGAGGGCAGTGCGTGAGCCACTGCTATACCCTGATAGAAAATCAACGTAGCAAAATTAAAACTAAGAAAAAAGAATTATGTAATTATTATTTAATCAGAAAAGATATACTTATTCCAACTGTTGCTAACATATATAAGTAAACATTTTTAATTATTTTATTCATAAGCTGGTTAGTTAGCTGTGCAATCTGCTACAGTAGCAAGCCTGCACTGCCTATCCTTTTGAGAAAGTCCAGCATCTAACGGTTATGAACACAATGAAGCAGCCACTGCATTGGGGGACCTTTTTTTTTTTCATTTTGAAGAAGATGACGCTCCAGACCAATCAGCCTCTTTGGTTCCTTTGATGTTTCTCTATATTTTATTGCTTTTTTTGCAGGTTTCCAGAAAACTCTTCAAATGCAGACCCTCGTTTGTCTGGGTGTGACGTTACCATGTGCTTACAATCATTTTCTGATGTATAAACTTTATGCTTTTTACTAACTTTGCACTACAGCTCATCAGAAAAATCATTTAAACAGTTCAACCTCTGAAAAAACATTAACTCAACAGAATAGATCCACAACCATCAAGACGAGTCTTTTTTCCTGATAATGTTTAAGCGTGGAGCTGGTGTCAATTTGTGAAATTGTAGCTTTTGTTGTTTGGATTTATCTGAATCTTTTACGCCACTGATTGTCTTATTTTTGTGTTTCAGCTCTTAGCTTGACAAGGCAGCGTGCAATGAAAGCTTTAATGCAAAGATCACCTGGGCCTTATCTAAGGGTTCTCCTTGCACTCATGTTTTATACTCTCCGTGTGACTAAATGATGTCAAAAGGCAAACTTTAACACGTTTGACTTTGAAGAATCAACAAACCAATAGTTACGCTGTCAATGGGTTCTTATCATAAACCCGTAGCTTCTATCCTCTTGCTCAAAATGCTCCACATTGATGTGGCCTAGTTTGTTGGAACCCTGTAACGCGTCTCCTGTGGTTTTTATTTGTAGCAACTTCTGCTTGTGACTTGGTCAACTGTATTTAAAAATGATGCATCCGGAAGGTGCCTACCTTACAGCAGCAGAAAATAGATTTCTGCAAGAAGAAAACATGCATAGAGGCTTTGCATAAGCCGAACACCATTTGGACCCTCTGTACAAACTTTAGTGCAACATTAAGTCAGGATCTTTTTTTTTCCTTTGGTGTTAAAAAAAAAACTTGTTTTTTTATGCTTTGAAATAATTTCTGCATGTATACCAGACATTGGTTAACTGATATGTGTTTTACTTAAATATATTTGTTTCTGCAAGAAAGTACTACGCATGAATCTTATTCTGTTGGAATGCACAAAACATCTGAGCCTGTTTATTTTTTCTGTATGTTTGAAATGGAAAATAAATAAAATATGAGATTTTTTGTTTTCTCAAAAATATCAATTCAATTGAATCTGCTTTGCAATATTTATTGTTCATAGTTCTTCGTTATCCATGGGTTTAATACAGTACCAAACTACTTACAGCTATGGCTTTAAAACTGAAAATTGGAGTGACAGCAAAAGCCAAATGTGTTATCTGGCATGCCAGCTTTGAAAAATGGCATATGCAAAGCAACACTGGCATATGCTTCTGCAGCTTGTTTTAAACCAAAGGACTGGAAAACACCTAACAAGAATTCATAAATATTTAAACAATTATATTTTTGTAAATCCTTTTATCCCCTGAAAGGTTGGTTTGTGCCAAAGCACTAATCTGTGAAGGGATATAAAAACAATTATAGCACGGAACGCCCTAGAAAGTCCTGGACTCCATTATCTGAAAATGGAGAACCAAACTGAGGCTTGATTAGGGAGCGGACCCTAACACAATATTTCTTTGTGGACATATCCCTCAGATGATCATACTATTTCTTGATATTTGATTGTTTGTGCATTGTTGCTAAAGACATTGCTCACTAAAACACACAACAGCCAATCTACATTTTGCAGAAAAACTATTTTATGACCATCAGACCAGAATAAACTAAATCTTATGGTGTGATTAAAACCCAAAAAATGAAACTCTTAATAAAGCAATGCTCACTGTAGCCAACACCACCCCAACTGTAAAGCACAGCATTGGCAGTATTATGCAGTGAGGATGTTTTTAGGGAGCAAGAGCTAGTTGGCTTGTCTACATAGAGATGAAAATAACAGCAGCCAAATTTGGAGATTTTTTAAAGATGATTTGATCAACGGTGTTCTGCAATCTAGAACAAAGTGAAGATCCATCTTTGAACATGATAATCCAGAGGACTCAGCCAGGATTCTTAAAGTGGCTTAAGGAGCAGTCTGCAAATGCAATTATTGGGCCTGTTGCTCAGTAATCCAGTATTCTCTTTACAAATTAAAGCAGTTTGCATTTAATTTAGAAGCCAAGGTGGGAGGAAGGGTGGAGAAGTACAGAATCCAATACATAATACAGTTTGAAGTTTACTTAGTAATAATTTGGGGAAGGCCTACTTCTTTAAACATTTCTTTAGTTATGGTTTGTTTTTATTGTGATTTTATTCCCTTTTTATATTATTCTTTATTATTATTATTTTCTGTTCTGTTGGTTTTTTGTACCATACTTTGAGTTTCTTCATTTGTGAAAGGCACAGGATAAATATTTTTATTTACTCACGAATTTTTTTTTTATGCAATGGTTCATCAAGTCTAAAGTCAGTGCCGCCATGGTCTGCTGGATTTTATGGGTCAAAAGCACCAATACCTGGTTTAATAATCATGGAATTAGTACTTTTCATTTGTCAGCAAATAAACCTTGATCTAAACCCCATAGACCATCTATTGCATGTGCACAGGTATGTAGTACTGATGCAGGATGGGATGCAAAACAAGCCAAAACAAAATACTGATAGCCACTGTATATAACATGGACATGCATTTCAGTAGACTAATATTTCTGTATCAAAAGATACTTCTTACTTTATTTTGTGTAATTTTCTAAACTGTTTTCATAATCTGTGAGGGGTGTCTATGCAACTGGAATTATTTAATATAAGTGGTACATCTTGGATATATTACATTGAAATACAGAAACTTATTTTAATACTATTTTTCCCCTTTGTTCAGTCTATATCGTGTTTTTAATTTTGTCTGCCTACTATGCATGCTTTTTAGAACTAAGTCTGCAATATTTTGTGCTGTTTTCATGATGACAGATTTTTGATTCATCATGGCAGACTAAGGCCACACGGGGGCACTTTGGAAACACAGAAACAAATAAGCCAATCAAGTGCGGGGTCAGAATTATGACGTCGTTTGATTGGACCAATAGCCGTGTACCTAAGGGGATATCCGGTCCCTGGCTTACAGTTTGAATTTTGTAAAGAAGCCTAACGAGAAGCCTCGCGCCCAAAGTAAGTTGAGTAAAACGTAACATTTATGTAAAAAACATCGCGTTATTGCTATTTTTAATGCATCGGTCTTTATCGTTGCCGCTAATCTTCAGTCTCTAGACTGATCATAACCCAAATGAAAGTTTTATAGTATTTTATATTCTCAAAAGTCAGTTTAGTTTAATTTCAACTGAATCAACGCTAGGTGCTCCTTAACTTTTAGTTTAGGTTTAATTATGTTTTCGTTTTTTAAAATGTGTGTTCGGCTGCCCAATATGTTTGTGTTAATTTGCAGGATCTGATAGTGCCATAGTTGTACCGGCCGCCACATTATAAACAGATACTCATTACACACCTTCACTGTTGTCTTTCTGTTTTGTTTTTTTTTTTTTTTTTTACTGCTTTAATTTGAAAGTATTAAATGTATTTTGAAACTATACACCTTAAGGAAAGAAAATAGAAGTTCTAAAAGCAGTTTTTAACCATTTGTCTGCATTATGGGATAGATATTGATGGATCACTTTCCTGAATGGGGATGCAAGTCCGCCACCTAGTGGTAGGACTCTGTACAACATGTTTATTAAATATCTTCCTTAAATAAATATCCTGTGGCAATCCTGTAAATGTGGATTATTTTATTAGTAAACTTGTATAACCATTAAGACCTGATATGATCTAGATCTACCAATGTTTTCAAAACTTTTTTTAATAGAATTTACTAAATTGTGCTTTAAAGTGGTTGGGTCTGATCTAGGACATGATACAGAAATTAACACCTCTGTTACTCGAATTTGTTTTATGAGAGATAGTGATAATTTATGGAATTTCATATCATAATCCAGCATTTTAAAAGAAACAATGACTGTGGCAATGTGCTGTAAAGGCAATTTTTTTGCCCAAAATGTAGTGGATATAAGGTAACTTAATGCAGCCTTCAAATAGGTTGAAGAAATTAGATGAAAGTTTAACGAAATGCTGCTTGTAGTTGTAGCCTGGGTTCTCCTCACTTTACAGGAAAG